GCTTTCTGGGAGTTCTCTTGTAGAACACATGGTGGTTACAAACTGCTGACCGGGTTGTAGTTGGGTGCCCTGAAGCCCATTCTGACTCCTGCTGACCCCGTGTGACAGAACACAGCTGCAGTTTAACAAGCAATAAAAAAGATAAATCGTAGCAGGAGACTGAGGGGGGTGGTGCGAGTAGGGGACAGGGGAGAGGCCAGAGAAGACTTGCCGGACCAATCAGATGGGGACCAGCTTGGAGCTTGGGACAGAGTACAGGAGAGAAGGGACAGGTCTGAGCATGAGAACAGAGACAGGCCAGCATATGGGTCATCCTTCAGGGTAAAGTGTGCATGCATGAGGGTGTGTATGAGTGTGTGAGAGAGCATGCCTGCATGAGGTTGTGTGGGTGAGGGAAGATGTGTGAGTGTGTGTTGTGGAGAGAGTGTGGATGTGTGAGTGTGCGTGTGTAGTGTATATGTGTGTGTGGGGGTGTTTTAGTGTGCATGTGTGTAGTGTATGTGTGTGTGTGTGTGTGTGTGGGTGTGTGAGGGTGTGTCTGTGTGTGTGCGTGTCACATGTGGAGGACCTGGGGATGGGTGTGTATTTGGTCCCTGTCTGCATGTCCCTTGTGCCCTGGTGGGCAGGGTCGGGTGAGTTGGATCCCAATTCACCTTTCCAGAAGCCCTGGTGGAGCCCCAGAGCCCGGGGTAGTTCTGTGCCCTGGGATGGTCAGTGCTGGGCCCGGCCTGGGATAGAGAGAGTCAAGTGGATTTAAGAGGGTGACAGATGCTTCCTGGGCTCTGGGCACACAGAGGAGGGGGCTTTAGTGACGGGCACAAAGCTCATGAGGGGGCACAGCTATGTCTGCAGCAGGGTCTGAACCGTGTCCAGCGCAGGGCCTGGCTGAAGTGGGGGTCAGGGGATGGTAGTGTATCTCAACCCACACAGGTCCCACCACCCACAGACATTGTTTCATTCTGGGACTGGGCTCTCACTGTCCCCAAACCCCACTGCCCTCTTGCCCTTCCCACTGGACGGCATCATGAAAAACAACCCCCCTGCCACAAAGCCCATTCTGACCCATAGCCACAGAGCAGCACTGAACAGAACCACCCCCGGTGCTCCCAAGGCTGCAGATCCTTGCCGACAGCCTGGTATTGCTCCCAGTGAACGGCTGATGGGGTCAAGCCACCCTTCTGGCTGGGTCCTGATGGCTTAACCACTGTGCCACCCCTGTGTCCCCAGCACGTAGCACTGACATTTGTTGAGCTGGGGCTCCACGCCTGTGTTGGATCTACCCTGTAGGTGTGTAGGGGGAATGCTCCCAGTCACAAAGCCGCATTCAAATATAAGCAGCAATTAATGTCACTGTTATCATTCAGACAGTTTGGATTTACATTCCTCTGTCGTCCGGTTCCTCCAAGAGCCAGGAGCCCTCAGAAGCGAGGGTTTGGGACTTGGTGGCCACCCATTTGCAACCTCTGCCTCTGCCGGGGGGCAGAAAGAAAAGACCACGTTAGGGAAGTGGGGGGGGGGGTGCTGTCGGTGGACAGGAACACTGACCAGCTGCACAGGCTGGTGCCGAACCAGCTGCTTCCCCCAGATAGTGGGTCTGGAGCAGAAGCCTGGCTCCCCCTTGAGCGCCCAGGCTGACAACCAGGAGTGTGTCTGCTTGCAGGGCAGGCTGGGGACCCTGGCGGACTCCAGCTGGTCCCAGAGCCTCTGAGCTGGTCAGCCGAGCCCAGTCGATGGCCTTTGGCCCCCTTCCAACCATTCCTGGAGATTAGGGAAAACAAGTCATTAGTCTGAGTGTCTCTTAATGATCTCATGAGCTCAAGGAGAGCCAGATGGCCCTGGTGGGGGAGCACCAGGTCAGGGTCTGAGAAGGCACCTGGTGCCATTAAGTAGCTTCCCCAGCCTGCGAGCGGGAGCCTGCCCCTTCTCAGTCCAGAGGTGATGTGGTGGTGATGTGGCAGGTCCCTCCACTATCCAGAGGTGACACCACATGTCCCTCGGCCAGGCAGAGCAAGTGGGGGTACAGGAGTGGCAATTAGCTGAAAGTTGCTAACCAGCTAACTTCGCTTTCTCGCCGCCTGCAGTGGAGTTCTGGTTTTGAGTTGGTAGGGACCTCAGGGACAGCGCCCTCCTGCAGCCCTAAGAGGGAGGAGGCCTGCCCAGGGCTCCCATTGGACGCCTTCGGTCGCTCAGGCCTGGGTGTTTGGGGGTCCCCCTCCTTTTTACATTTTTGTTTGTCACACGATTTTTTGAGACTTAATGCCAGTTCCAAGAAAAGAAGAAGAAGAAAATTCAGGACACTAACAAAACAAAACAAAACAAGAAAGCCCATGTTATTTATTCACTCTCACTCAAAGAAGCCATTAGCTCTACTGACCTTCCCAAGCTAATGACATCCGTGAATGCTCCCTGCTGATTGCACACACGAGTGATGCAGAACCTGGGTGCTTAGGGAGCCTGCACGCTGGGGTAGCATAGTCCAAAGAGACGCCGTCTGTCCCTCTCTCCCGAAACAGCACCACCCTGCCAGCCAGGCGACCCTGACTCCCAGCGGCTCCATGGAGGGTTTTCTGAGGCTGTGGATCTTTGCGGCAACAGACAGCCTCATCTCCGCCCCTCGGAGAAAGATGTGAGCCTTCTGAGTATGTCTCAGTGGGTGGCCCAGCACCTACCCCACAGGCCACCAGGCTCCTCTGCGCCCTGGCGGGGCCCTCGACAAAAATGCCAAACACCAATCCAGAGGCCTTTGGGTGGTTTCCAGTGCATGGCCATGCTGCGGGTCCGGACTAGAAGTGCTCCCAGGATCTTCAAAGCTGTGCCCTTTCGGGATCACTGAGCCTTGTTCCTCTGGGCACCTATGGGTGGGTTTGAACCTCCAAGCTTCCGTCAGTAATCCAAGTGTCTAACCATCTGCACCCCTCAGTTCTTGTTGCTGAGTTGATCTGCGCTCCTGGCGACCCGGTGTGCGCAGGACAAAAGGACACCCCGCAGGACTTGTGAGGCAGATCACCAGGCCTTTCTCTGGAGGCACCTCGGACTGGATTGGAACCACCCACTTTGGGATTTGTAATTGGACACTAAATCATTTGCACTAGTCAAGGGCTCTGGGCAAGTGGTTTTAAAGTCCCTGCTGAATGAGGCAGGGCAATGCCAGTCCGCCCAGCTGTGTTTCTGGAAGGACGGGCGGGCCCACAGTGAACCCGGCCCTGAGCCCGGCCCACGGGCAGAGCAGAAGAAATGTTCGTGGCAGGCCCTGTTCTGCAGTCCTTTCTGGTCTGACCTGGGTGGGAAGCGGGGCCACAACGTTCAGACACGAGCCTGGAGCACACCCGTGAGAGCAGCCGGCAAACCCCAGGGAAGCAGAAGTTGGCGGTGACCAGAAAGACTTGCCGACAGGCAAGAGGCCAGTAGAAAGAGTAGGACCAGGCCTGATGGGGTGGAGGGGTGGGTGGGGAACCAGGAAGGGGCTTTGGAAGCAGGAAGCTCATGATGAGTGAGCTTAGGGCAAGTCTGGGTGTGATCTTGGGGGCAAACTGGGCTTCGCGATGACCAGGCAGGAACCATGCAGGACAGATGGGAAGAAGGAGGTAGGCGCCAGACAGTTCCGTACCTCCGTGCTCCATGCTCCGACTTAGCTGCCCCAACCCCGGGCTTATACAAGCCAGCACTTCTCCTTGTCCTGGGTGTCCTTCCGTCCTGGTGGTCGTTCCCTGTCTGAGCTTTGACATCCCAGCCAGAGACGGGCAGATGCGTCTCGGAGGAAAGGCACATACAATGCAATCATGAGGGGATTTTGAGCTTAGAGAGAGAAGTGCTTGGAGATGACCGCACTGGATGGATCAGCTGGCCCCTCACTGCTGTAGGATGGGCAGATTGTCAACAGGCTGTCTCCACATGCTGAGCCTCCCCCCACCCACCCCCACCCCAAGCAGGACTCTTCCTTATCCCCAGGGACACGGGCTGGAGCCTGGGCTCCTGCCACACTAAGGGGCATCAGGCCACCTGAGCACAAGGCCTGGGAGGCCTACACCCTTCTCCTGAGGCCCATCAGCCTTGCTGAATGTGTACAGAGCGGAGCATGTGGCGCATTGTATCCTTCCTTAGTGCGTGCTTTCAATTCCCCTTGAAAATGTGTTAACCACAAGGATAGAAGCCACGGAACACCACTCACACCCGAATCTCCCTCCCTGCACACTTAGCCCCCCACCTGCGCCCCCTCCCCAGAAGCCCCGCTGCACGCTTCCGAAGAACGAAAGGGCATCCTGTCTGGCGGCATCGCTTCCTCTGGGCATTAATTGCCTCTGCAGATCCCAAACTCACTTAAAGCGCATTAAAGTGGTGACACTCTCAGACAAAGAGGCAGGCGCATTGAGGCGCAGGTTGGCACCGTCATTAACTCAAGTCTTGGGGTGTCAACTCCCTCCCGCACTGCCCATCCCCGCCTGGCCTTGCAGTCAACCTCCGTGATGCATTTTCTGGCCTTTGTTGGTTTGTGTCAGCTCTTGAACATTATTTAAATGTAGTTTGGGGGTCTGTGGATGCAATTACCATTGTGTTATTATTCAGAGCCAGATTGTTAAGATTCAGGCAGCTGTACAAGGAGATGCCCTGTGCGGTGAGGTCCAATTTAGGAGTGCCTTCCGAGCCTAGCGCGCCTGGTTGCTAGGCAACCCCATGCTACAGAAGTGGAGGCCTTGCTCCAGAGTGGGAAGAAGCAGGAGTGCCTTCAGGGAATTGGAGGCAGTGGTCAATCGGAGACTGGCACCACGCCGGGAGAGGGAGGGAGAGGCAGGCAGTGTGGGCAGAGCCTCTGGGCCCTGGGGTGTGGGCTTGTGCAGGGCAGCGGAGAGGGTGGGGGCGCCTGCTCCATTAGCACGTGGTGTTCCCAGGAATGGGGGCTAGACAGCAGAGAAGGTGCCAAAGCCCGAGGTCGACCTGAGCCCACCGAAGGATACCCAGAGCTGATGCTAATATGATTTGCCACCTCTTTCTTCTCTTTGCAGGAAATGAGCAGGTTTGCCGAGAAACCGCTGGCCTGAAATCCAAGACTGAGGCAGTGTTGCTTGTGAGTGAGTATTCATTTTGCTTTCTTAGCTCCGTGGTTCTGCAGTGTCCCTGGGAAAAGGCGGAGGGCCTGGTGGACAGGGGATTCTGTTGGGGCATGGAGCATGGCATTGATGAAGTCAGCCACCCGGTCTTCTTTGGCAAGTGGCTTTTGCTGGGTAGGGCCAAATCCAAGGTTGTAAGGAGGACCATTTGAACACTATGCCGCCTGTTGAGTGGACGGGGTGCTCACTGGCTGACAGGCTGTTGTAGATTTGCGTGCTGGGCCAAGAGGACTGCTCTGGTGGCTAAGGGCCGATGGTGTCACCCAGATTGCACATCTCTTAGGGCAAGTCCAAGTTTGCTGCCCTGTTTAGAAGAGCTGGTTCCAACAGGAGACCTAGCTGTGTGTTATACTAAGAGCAATCACATGCCCGTCTGTCCATCAGTCTGGTGATATTTTTCATCCCTGGGTGCCTGACCATCTCTCACCACCCTGAGAAATCCAAGAGGAGTCACAGGCTCTGTTTGGGAGTGTTCTGCCCGGCATGAGCAGAGGAGACTCGTGTGCAGAGACAAAGGACATCAGGAATTGGTTCACGCACCAGCTGCGGTTTGCATGGTACAAGCAGTAATGCAACAGAGTGGTTAGGGAGGGCTTCCTGGGGAGGTGAGACCTGAACTGCGCGTATGGAAGTGAGGGTCACTCTAGGGAGGGGACGATATGCCAAGTCTTCCTGCAGTCATTCTGCCAGTCCAGGAGAATTAAGTCATTCTGCCAGTCCGGGGAGAAAGTGTTGGGTGAGCAGGGTCAGGTGGTTGAGGACTTGGAGTGGCTGCATGGATGCTTGATAAGGCCAAGCATCAGGACGGGATAAAGGATGCCGGAGCTATGGCAATAAGTGATGTTTCTGCCTTCTGCCCCTTTGTCTATGACTCCACTAGGGGAAAATGGCTAGTTGAATTGTTTTGAGGCTTGGGAGATTTTTTTATTCTCTTGCTAAATTTGAGGTGATATCTGAGATGAAGATGGAGACGGATTTTTTTTTAATCCCCCATTTGCTGTTGAGTTGACTCCCAGTCCGGGACCCGCTGAGTGTCATAGGAGAGAGGTTGGCTGTTCAGAAGCAGGTTGCCACACTTTTCTCTCTGAGGTGCCTCTAGGGGGACTCAAACTTCCCACCTTTCCTGAAGCAGCTGAGTTTGCTAACCATTTGCAGCACCCCAAGCACGCTGCTCATTCAGGTCACAGGAATCCGCTTTGGGGAACTGAGTGCAGGAGGGTCTTCTCCGGGAAGCTGCGCCTGGGTCACCACAAGGCTAGAAATCGGGACACGTCCTGTGTCCCAGTGACAGCCCTGGGGACAGAGCCCAGCCATGAGCTCATGCTCCTGAGAGCTGCAGCCCCCACGGGAGCACCAGGTGCAATGCCCGGATATGGCCCCTGGAGCCCTGGAGTCCTGGTATTTAGCTACCTCAGTGTCTTTTCCCAAGAAAACGGGAGGAGCGAGTTAGGTCTGAATCTCAGCAGCACAGCTCGGATTTACAGGGCATGCCTAACCTACAGCAAGCACACTGGACAGGATCTGAGATGCCCTGGTGGCTGAAGGACATGTAACCTTGTGGGGCTGCTAACCACAAGGTCAGCAATTCAAACTCGCTGGCCTCTCTGAGGGAGGTGCCCAGGGAGGTTGTGGCCCAGGGGAGACAGGCCCACAGGTGTCATGTGACAGTGCTGTCTGGCTTGGAGGAGGCAGGGACAGGACTTTCATGTCCTCTTCTTAGTCATCGGTCATCCTCAGCGTATCACATAGGCCAGGAGCGAGGACCGGGAGAATGTCTCAGATGTAAGCCACTTGTTGGGGAGGGGGCACCAGCTGGAAAAGAAGACTCAGGTGGGGCACCGCTTCATCTATTCCCATGCCTATCTGTCCACGAAGCAGCCCCTGCCATCTCCGCCTGGCCGGGCAGCCCTTTTCCCTCCGGTATTTTGAGCGTACACTCACTCAACTCACCGCCTCTGAGTAGATGGACTCCTGGGGACCCCGTGGCACAGAGCAGCCCTGCTTCCCAGGTTGTAGATCTGTGCTGGGATGTAAAGATTCCTTTCTGTCCCGTGGATCCCATTGGAGGCTTCAAACCGCTATGGTTAGCAGTCCAACCACGCCTACCTCACCCAACAAACCAAACTCACTGCCATCGAGTGGATGCCAACTCACAGCAGCCTGCCTGCCCCTGTGGGCTTCCCAAACCAAAAAATACCTATAAGCACAGAGAAGCCTCATCTTTCTCTCTCAGATCAGCTGGGGTCTCAAACCGCAGACCTTCTGGTTAGCAGCCCAGCTTATAACCCACTATGCCAACAGGGCTCCTTGTAGCATAAGCAACCAGACAGAAATCGGTCATATCAAACTCCACTTTCAGTGACAACACCCATATGCCGTCTTAACCGAGATGTTCTTAATAGCTGTGAGACACAGCTGTGAGACTCTCAATTCAAAAGAACGAAACTGCCAAGCCTCCTTCCCATCGTGGTCCCCCACAGCCTGGCTCCTCTCCTGGGGACACCCTGCACGCCCAAAGTGTTCCTCTCCGGGGAACTCCGAGGCACACACACACAGCCGGGGCTCAGATTTTAAAGCTGGGTGCATCTGACGCAGGGCCGGCTATCCTGGACGAGGCTGAGCTGGAGTGGGCCTCTGCTTTGGGAGAGAGGTGTCCATCGCTCTGAGTCAGCTCTCCATGGAACCTCTAAACAATGTTTACAAAAAATGGTTACAAACACTACCAAGCTTCTTAGATCCACCGCTTATTATATAAGCAAGCGAAAGGGGCATCGCAGACAGACGTGGTTCACGCAGAGAGGGCTTCGCGTCCTCCATCACAGCCCGCCAAAGTCCCCACGGTGTACAGACCTCAATGTCACACTCGCTTCGAGATGCAGGTTTCACTGTTGACCCCCGGGAGCCGGCTCCTGTCCTCTGACGGCCGGCACTGCAGTTCTCTTTCCAGGGGGACCTGAGATCCCCGTGGCTTCTACCTATGGTTTCCCTGCATGAAGTGACTTTATTAGAATTTAGGAGGGACTCTCTCTCTCTCAGCATAGGAACTGGTCTACCCAGGAATGGACTCTGCAGTTGGGGGGCAGCACCTGGGTCCTCAGTGGTCAAAGTTACCCAGGAAACGTCTACCCTGTGCGGCAGGCAGCCTCAGCCAGCAGTCTGTTTCTTCTGGCCTTTGCTTCTCCATTGTTCTGTGGGCCACGTGCCATGCCGGGGGCTTACCTTCCGGTGTCTCAGATTTGTCCAGTGCCTGTCATTGGCCACAGAGAACTTGCTTTGTAGCCTTGTATGCCTGAGTATGTGTGTGTGTGTGTGTGTGTGTGTGTGTGTGTGTGTGTGTTGCAAACAAGCTCCTTCCTCTCTGTTCCCCTTCAGGTTGACATGCCACCACCCACCACAGGCTGCAAGAAATCCTCTAACTTGTGCATGACCCCTACCAGCCCCCAGAGAGACTTTTGGTGGCACCACCCCCACTCCCAATGAGATCATGGGGGTAGGGGTGGGGAGGGGCAAGAAATCTCATTTCCGTCCAAGAAATGGAATCATTATCTCGATTGAAGCGCTATCTTCCCCCACCTGCAGCCAGATGAAGCACAAATTGGTGGAGTTTCCTTATCGCCCCAGAGTTTGCAGGACACAGACTAATGGCCTGTCAGCTGCCTCAGGCGGGGCGGGGTCTGTGACGCAGTGCTGGGCTCCTGGCCTGGCGTCAGTTGCTGGATGCTTGGTGTGGCCAACAGAGACTCGGTTAGAACGGATGTTGTTCAAGAGAGAGGGTCGTTTGTAGCAGAGAACATGGGAAACAATCCTTGCGGCTCCTACTCCTACCAGGGTGGTTGTCCTGGGACCCCACCAGCTGCTCCGTGGAAGGGACTCCATAGCCCTGTGGTGAGGAAAAGCAGCGAGCACAATTACATCTGTGTCACGTTCCAGGAGCAGGGGGTTGGGGGTTCCGTGGTGGAATGCTTGCCTTCCGGGTGGGAGCCCAAGCTAGATTCCCAGCTGACGCAGCTCTCGCGGTGCAGCAGCCATCAGCCAGTGGAGGCTTACATCTGGCCAGGAGGTCGAGCTTGCCGTGAGGAGGTTTCAGAAAGCCTGTGGTGAAAGGCCTGGTGATCTACTTCAGGGGGGTCTTCTTGAGGGGGAGAATCAGCCAGTGGAAGCCATCGGAGTCCACAACCGATCTCAGGGGTGTTGAGGGACCCGGCAGCATGCATGGGGTCCCAGCGTGTCGGGCCACCTCAGCGGCAACTAGAATGACCACAAGTGTTCAAGGAGTCCATTGAGGTGGTCCCCGTGCAAGGGTGAAGGGTCTTCTAACTCGGGGCTTCCCTGGGACCCTGCCGCACAGCCCCCCTGCTGTATGCACCCTGTGAGCACCCCACTGGGCCCACACTGTCTTCCTGAAGAGCCATCCCACACTCAGGCTGCTCGGGGGGCCCCCCTCCTCCCCCACTGCTGCCTGGGTGCCCGCGGCATCATCAGAATCCCGATTTCCAGAGCCCGATTGCCAAAGTGATCACCACGGCCCTGGCCATTCATTTCCATCCGAAATGCGAGCAGACGTGCGGGAAAAACCAACGGTCACCCACAAGGGAGGCTTGGGAAGATTCATGTCAGATTTGGGGATCGCTGGAGAAGACGAAGAAGAGCCAGTCCCTTCATGCACCGGGCCTTCCCCCTCCCCTCCCCTCCCAGTGCTCCGCCCCTGCCTGCACCTCTCCTGCCATTCTCCCACCCACCTCAGAGCTTTTAGCGCCCCCCCGCCCCCTCCACTCTCTCTGGCTAACCTTCGTGGCAGCCCAGCTCCTCCAGGAAGCCCTCCCTGACCAGCCAGCCCCGAGTCGCTCTCTGCTCCCTGAGGGCCACACATTTGTCATTCTGTAACCAGGGCCACCAGGGGCAGGGCTGGGCCCCCACTCCGCCATTCCAGGAACTCTCATTCATTGGGAGGGCCGTGTTCA